AGGCGGCAGCAAGTCGATGGCGGGCTTTGGCGCCGCGTTGCCCTTCGCGACCTGCAGGAGATCAAACCGGTACGGGGCGAGGTTCTTCTCGCCGGCGCAATGCAGGTCATTCGCCTTCAGAAGCTCCCGGAAAGCCTCGAGTACTGTCATCCCCATCGGCGTGGCCCCGCAGCTGCTCACCGTGTCCTTCGCGCGCGCCATGACAGCCGACTGGGTAGAGAGTGCCGACGAGAGCGAAATCCCAAAGCAAGCGCCACCCGATCGAATCGAGGACGCTGTCGAAGCAGCCAGAGTCTTCAGGCTGCGCACCGCTTCAGCGACCCGGAGCTGCTTGCTGCGTCGAGCAGCGAGCCCGGGTGCGCGTCGATGGGGAGGGGGCCCTCGATCACCGAGCCGAGTCAAGCGTGGAACCGGCAGCGGGGACATCTCCACGCTTGGGCCCACCTCCTCTGGGCGAGAGAGGCGGGGCAGGAGAGTGTCTCACCCACGCATCCCGACTGCTGTAGAGTCATCCCTGCCCCTCCTGCGAGGCCGCAGGAGAAGCTTTGGACATGGCCTCCGCCAGCGGATGCGAAGACGGCTCCCTGTCTGACGTGCGGCGTCGCTCCGCCGCCTGCCCCTCTCGCCGCTTCCTCTGCGCCTCCATGGTATTCGCCTCCTCCTTCTGCTTAGCACTGAGCCAGCTGCTGAAGTCGCGCAGGCGGGCACCCCCGATCTCGTCGCAAGAGCCGATCGTGCCGATGTCGGGTCCCGTGAAGTCTGGGTGCTCCAGGTCCCTTCGGATCGCCTGCTGGATCTCATGAATCCTGCGCGCCGCCTGCTCGATGGAAGCCATATTTGTGGGGTCCACCTGGTCGTAACTGACAGCGAGGCGCACGATCTGGGCGAGGTTCCAAAGCTGATGGGGCACGGACGAGTTCTCGCTGACTCTGGACATCCTCATGAACGCATTCAGCCACACCTGGAGAGCACCGCCGTTCTCGAGGACTGACTCGAGAAACTCTCGCGTAGCTTTCGGCCCAGGGTGATGCCACTTCTGAAAGACTTCGGCGTGATGAGCTGTGTCGCCGGGGCGAGTGGCAGTTCCCTCTGCTTTTCTGACTTGGCGCGATGCCCAAGCAGCCGACATGCCCCAGCGGCCCCAGGTCCAGGACGCTTGCGAGCAAGCCACCCGTCATGATCATCATCCTTCACGAGCTCCACTAGCTGAGCGACCCCGCTGATGAGCGCCAGCCTCTGAACCTTTGTGCCGTCGTCGCGATCCTCAGTGGAGTCCACAAGTTCAGCCGCCGTGATCACCTGGTCGAACGCCTCCGACGAGGGGTCTGCGATCCGCCAGCTCGAGACCCGCAAATCTGGCATCAGTTCCAGGAGCAGCGACACACAAAACCTCTGCGATCCCGCGCGCCTGCCCCCTCATCCTAGCGATCTGTGCCGCGGCCCGCTGAGGCCCACCGAAGACGCGCAGCATCACAGTGAGGTCAGCAGGGAAGGCTCCGTTCCGAGTCAAAGGCCTCGCCCCCGCACCGTTGAAGTCCTCCTCGTAGACGTCGCAATCTGGAGTCCCGATGATCCACCGCCCAGGCGCGACCCTTGTGAAAAAGATGCGATGGTGGTGGCGAAGCCCAGCCGCAACGTCGTCGTAGTAGACTCAGACCGGCAGCTCATCAACGTCTAAAATCCGACTGACCACCGCCATGCCGCAACCTCCTCACGAGTCGCTGGGCCCTGCAAGGCTGCAGCACCCGAAAATCGCACTGTCCTCCCGCGGCCACTGAGTTTCCCGACAAGGAAGTCCAAGACGAACAAGACAAGGCCCAAACTGACCGAGATATCCAAGGACAGCGTCCGCCCGCTCGAAGGCGGGCCCTCACGGGGTGCGTCCCCGCTGTTTTTGATCCGCGGGTCGAGACCGAGCCTTTTCCGGTCGAAGCTAAGCGGGCCGCGCACAGCTTTCATTGACAGAGGTAGGAAGCAGAAGGGGGGGCCTCACGTCAAGGCCAGGAGAGGACAAAACATCGGAATCAGGCGGTGCCGAAGGCGAAGTGCATGCAAACGAACGCCGTGTACAAGAACCCGGAGGCGAAGTACCGGAACAGCAAAATGCTGTGGTGGTGGTGGTGCCGTCAGCGGCGCTTCATGTACACCAGCCTCAAGTAACCGCGGGAGAGGAGGGTGCGTCCCCCCCCACCACACACAGTCTGGGCAAGTAAGTGTCGCAGGACATGTACACGCCGGCGCGGCAGGGCACACCACGGGACGCCCCACGGTCTCCCGGACGATCTCGAACACGGGCTCGCAAATCTCAGCCGCCGCTGGAGCAGCGGGGCAGGTGCACATGCACCTGGTGGGAGCAACCGCGTCTCTAGCCACAGTGCATGCAAAGTGGGCGGCCGAGCTCCACGGGACAATCCACTCGAGCATGTGCTGCTGACCTCTCTCAGCAGAAACAAACTTGAGCAAATACGAGCGATGGATCGCAACAGAACTGGCCACGACACGTGCTGCAAAGAGACATCCGTGAGTGCTGCAATACATACATGCGTGCATGTATGTATGGATGGTTGGACAGATTAAAAAATTGTGCGTATATGTGTTTAGGCATGTACGTGCGTAAATTATATGTCGGTGTGTACATATTTATAGATGTATATGTAAATATACATGTGCGTGTTTTATACATATGTGTCTAAACACATGTCTATACGAAGCAGACGCTTCTGTATATGTGTGTACTCATAGGTTTTCTTTAGGGAATTACAAGCGCAACTGTATATGATACGTATGTTCCAGATACATCGCGTGCGCGCTACGCGCCCGCTCAGGTTCTAGTCGAAGACGCAGGCGGTATCACGAGACATGGGAGGGAAAAGGGATATCCTCCCGAATGGGGAATCGCTACCTGGCCGACGCAATCGCGGAGCAGCCGCCGCCGCCGTCGTCGTTGTCGTTGTGGTCCTCGTGATTTTTGGACGTGTTCGTAAGTCTGGGACGAAACCAACTCTTCTACGGTCTCTGGTGGCTTCCGGAGGCGTCCAGAAGGCTCGCGGAGACTTTCTCCCGAGACCTCAGGAAACCTCTGGAGGCCATGGAGGTCGCCAACGTCATCGTCGTGGTCGGTGTCCTGGTCGTCCTGGCCGTCGTGGTCGTCGTCGTGGTGGTGGTAGTCGTCGTCGTCGTCGTCGTCGTCGTCATCGTCGTCGTCTTCGTCGTCGATCTCCTCATCGTCGTCCTCGTCGTTCTCCATCAAAACGCTTACGCAGGTTTTGAAAGTGATTGGCACTTCTGTGGCCTCTAGAGCCTGTGGGGACTATCGAGATATTCGGAGGCCGCCGACAAAGGCCACCAGAAACCACCCGAAGTGGATTGATACATGCTCTCACTTGTGCGGCTGCTCTGTTCGGCGAACCCCTCTTGGGTTCGCCGACCTGTGCCCCCCATGGGCGCTCGACATGTCGGTGCTGATGTATATATTCGGCCCTTCTTGGAGCTTTAGGGGGCCTCCCGAACTCTTATGGGGAACCACTTCGTAATATTAGGAACTTTTTGGGAGGTCGAGCCTCTGAAGCAATCTTGGATGGATATTCGTAGCCTCTTGCACCGTCTTGGCAGTCAGTGGGCAGAAAATGAGAGAACGCTACCATCATGTGGAGAGCAACGAACATAAAGCCATGTATAGTTGCATTTCGGAGCCATCTAGTTGGCCCTCTAGGAGCGCTCTGGAAAAGAGCTGGATGCCCTCGGAGGGCCCTGGTTCCCCCATGGAAGTTCGAGGCTGCTGGGCTGGGGCCTCGGACCCCGTCTCTTGGGACCCTCTTGGGCCGTATTTGGACAATCCGCCGACCCCTTAGGGTTCATCGGCGTGTGAAATGTTTCCCTCTCCCCAAACCCCCCCACGAGCCTGGTCCAGCCGATTTGGAGGGGGGGATCCCCCGGGGAGGACCTGAACGCGCCACGGGGGGACAGAGGGCCCCAAAACAGACCAAGAAGGCACCAAGAGGCCCTCCAGACGGTCCAAGAAGGCCACGAGCCGCCGAAAGATCGATCCAACATGCCCACGGTGGCCTCCAGACGGCCCAAAGGCCCCCAAGTCGCCCCAAGAAGTTCTCAAAAGGCGCCCCAAGACAGCTTCAAAGGGAAACGTGCATTTCTAGCGCAGTTGCCTCTAGTGCGATCACAACTTCCAAGACAACCCAAGAAGCCTCCTGGATCGCCCCAACACGGCCCAATAGGCCCCCCAAAGGGCTCTCTCAGACGACCCAAGAGGGCCACATACCGCTCAAGAAACATCCGGGAGGGCCCAGAGGGAGCTCCAGGACAGGGTCCAGAGGGGAACCGGGACGGACATTTCGAGCCTTCCGCCTCCAACCACCGCCCCGTTGTCCCAAGAAGCCCCCGACAAGCTCCCAAGGAGGTCCGCGATGCCTTAAGGCTAGAGAAACTCCCAAAAAGGCCCCGAGAACGCCCCCAGGGGGTACAAACGCTGCGCCAAAACGCCCCCGAGACGCCTCCCACGAGACCTCGTCCGCAGCCTCGGCTGAACCCGGGCCCCGAAAAGGGGGAGAAGGTCCTATTGTGCCGATCTCGTCGCTTATCCGTGTCCCCTGGAGGGTGTTTTGGGCGGCCAGGGTGGCTTGGGGGAGGCCCAAGAGGACCTGGAGGAGGGGGGACCCAACAGGGTGGGGGGGAAGGGAAATCCGGGAGGGCGTGCCGGCGCGAGGCCCGGGCCCCAGTACTCTGGCATATCATATACGGTGTTATCTTATATCTCGATGGGCGCACTCAAATCGACATCCGTGGTGCTGCTCAACTATTGGCACACTGGCTGCGTAGGAGTATTTGTTTATGTTTCAGCACGTGGCCCACATGAATATCTTCAAGGAGATGGTCATGGCGAAGACTACGTCTTGCATCCCTCCGGCCAACCACCACTGGCCGTGCCAGGATGTAGGCGGATCTCTCTGTGAGATGCATAAAACCTTGAATACGTAAGCAACCACGGAGATGACGGCCATGAGCGCCATCTTCTTACCAACCCGACGCAGCAGAGTCAACAATCCAAGCTGTTGCGACCGCCCAGCACTTGCCAAGGTCCGGATAGGCATCGACAACTCAAACGAACGACGATGGAAATCGTGCCAACTCTGGGAACCATCCCATCAAAATTAATGGTATTGAAACCTATGTTGTATGCGGGTAAGTCGGCACTCCCTCGAATCTGTGCTGCACAAGAAAATTACAGCCCACAAACACCTCTGCCTTGGTCCGTGCTGTGTCCATGGACTCATGAGATATCCCACAGCCCTGAGCGATGCAATACACGAGTATGTAGAGGATGCCAGCTTTATGGGCCGAAGCGAAATTGGCACTGCACAGCATCCACGGCGCAAAACCACCTGCCACATTCCAAGTTATCAAAGCGTCCATCATGCAAGTGATTCCGCCTGTGCGCACACCAACACGACACTTAGACCGAGTGGATGGCATGGACCTGGGTGCACCATCTCTTCAACTGTGTCACCCAACACGGTCATCACAATGGCGCACAATGCTGCCAACCACTTGTAGACAGACTTCTTGTGATACTCGTTGGCCGGGAGGTACCCGTGTGCGTCTCTCACCAGCACCTCGCCTGAGACAGTCTGTTGCAAATACTCGCCACAGTTTGAGAGGACCAAAAGAAACGCACGCCAGTCCAAAGAAACGTGACTCTCGGCCCCATGCTACCGTCGACATCACAAGCATAACCCCAGGATGCTTTCCCGTCGCCATCATAGGTATGCATAGACCAGGCAGGTCGACCGGTCTTCAGCGCAAACTGTTTTTCTCATTCTGAGTATCGCACAAGCGCTTCGGGTGGAGTAGTTTCCAAGCTTACTGCTGTGAGAGGATCCGACGCCGCGCGCGACGTGGCAAGCATAACGCCCTTTGCGAAATAATACGTTGCCGTTCCCCTCCACAACACCCCATTATACGCACGAGGTGGTGGCACAATGAAACAAGACGTAATGGGCACACCCTGTAGCTGTATTTTTGCCTCCAAGACTTTTGAATCTCAGATGGAAAACAATGCGTCTGGCGCCTCTCCCCCTCGTCCTCTGCTGGTTTCATCTGGACCCACGACGTCTCCAAGACGGCCTGGCAAGGGAGCTCAAAGAATTCGCCGGCCCAGCGGGCCAAGGGCGTGCTACACCCCCCAGCAGGGGGTGCCGGATTATGCTCTATGTACCTCACTAGCCTTCGGTTGCGCGGGGACTCCTGGGGGTCCTGGGAGGGAAAACGGCTGGCAAGCACCCAGACTTCATCGTGACCGTCTCCCCAATGAGGCCGCAGAACTCCCGGGCGCGCCCAGAAGTCTGCTAAGCTGCCGCCGACATTGCTAACGAGACATCCAGGACTTGCCCACACACGGTTACTGGCCCTTCCTAGACCGCTAGACGGCCTCCAACTTGCGTCCTGCAGAACCCTATCCCGCCACAAAACGGCTCCAAGTGGTCACGGAGCCTCCCAAGGATGACCCATACGAGGCCATCATTACAATACTTTCTCGCCTTTCGCATTCGATCGGCTTTTGAGGCCTCAAGGTGACTCCACTATGGCCCAAGATGACTCCAAAAGGAGCTGAGAAGGGCTCCCGGAAGGATGAGCAACGCAGGAGCGCCTGAGGAACGCATCAAGACAACCCCGAGGGGGCTTCAAGACTGCCCAAGACCTGCTCAGACGTCTCCACGATTGTTCCATCGAGTCTATTCGAGGAAGCTCTGGGGACCACAACGCCCAAGCCGGCAATGAGACCCACAGCGGCCCCCATCAATATGCCTTCAAAAAACGAAATGGATAACGATACTGCGGACAAAGAGGGGGTATTCAAGACCCGCGCCAGTTCAAAGAAGGCACCGAACTGGAGCGATTCTTCAACCCAACCTCTTTCATGCTGCGCTGCTGCGCAGGCATCATGTTGGGGACTTGCCGCAGGCAGCTGGACTGGGACCCTACCACGAACCCACCTGAATGACCCTATCCAAGCGCCTGCAAGGATTCAGTTTGGACGGTATCGAGAAGCTGCCATGGGCCCTGCGAATTCCCTGCTGGGACGTTTCCGACACCTTTCAAGGACCCTCCCAAGACTCCAGCAGAAAGACTGTGTGATAGTGATAGAAAGCCACTTCGCGCAGGCAGTAATACGAGAGTGCCACTCCGATACGAGAGCGTGGCTTGCAGTGAGGCGCAAGCACCATTTCGAACTGGGAACGGGGCCCGTGCTGAGGCGAGACCAATCCGAGCCGGGAATGTGGCTGGCGCTGCAGCGACAACAACATTCCGAGCCGGGAATGCGGCTGGCGCTAAGGCGAGGGCACCATGACGAGCTGGAACTATGGCCGTCGCCCATATGGGAGCACCATTTCGAGCAGGGGAAACTGACCGTCGCTGAAGCAAAAGAAACATTCCCGTGTCAACCGTACCCCAAAGAAACCAGCAACGAAGCCAGGGCGGAAACAAAAGACCCCTCTGCAGGGAGTCTGTGGTGGGCCATGTTTCAGGAAACTGTTGCAATGTAATAGTTTCATGCTTCAGGAATGTGGCACGATTGGTGCAGTGGTTTTGGATAGATATGAGAATCCACCGACCTCGGTGCTTGAAGATCAATGCTGTCTGTCCCCAAGCGATGTGGCAGAGAATCGAGGGAGCCCAAGCGGATACTCACTGTCAGGATTGCAATCTGAATCTGCGGGCGTGCCGAGCAAGCTCGTGCGAAAATTCATCTTCACGTGCTGCGTCGGGCGAGAACTTCTCTGGGGAGTCGCCACGACTGTAGACATAGTACGTGGAGAGCACCGCCAGGGAGTATGGCTGGCCTAGCGGCATGCTTACGTTCTGCAGCGAATAGACCTGGGCATCCGCGCCGGAGAGTAGCACCGCCAGAGCCACGGCGCCTGCCTGCCGATGTCCCCTGCAGACCCATCGCTCGGAAGAACGAGGTGGACACACGAAGTAGGACGGCCCTGGAAGTACACTGGGCGTCCGCCCGCCAGCTGGAAAAAACTGAAAAAGATACTCGGTTCTTGAAATTGAAAGACGCCCAGAATAGATCGGAATAGGGGGATCCAAAAGTACCTCCCTGCAACGAGCGATGGGTATGTTAGACGCACCTGCGCGGCGCTGCCCCATGGCAGCCGAAACCCTGAACCAAAACAGCTACGGCAGCATCAGCTATCCTCAAAAGCCTCTAGCAACTCTTGTGTGAAACCTGTACTCCGCGAGCTGCTGAGCTTCGGGCGTCGACATATCGACAAAACCGAAATATTCTCTTGTCGGCCGCGCCCCGTGCGCGCGGCGGCCCAGAGTGTGCCAGGATGTGGAAGCAGAGGATGTGCAGGGGACGAGGCGGGGTGAAGTCGGAAGACGAGCAAGAACGAGGAATGGATGTCGAGATGGAGAGAGGAACAAGGACGGCGAGGGGAAAGCAGACGACGGGTGGCCGCGCACGAGGACGAGGGGGAGCAAGATGCCTCTTTCCCCGAATGGTCAGGGTCGTCATGTGGAGCAGGTTCTCGAACAGCTCGCCTTTCAGGGACGGCAGTGCAAGGCAATAGGAGGCACGCGGCAAGGAAGAAGAATGCCAATCAACACGACACCGTACGGAACATGTCGGACTTGCAACACATCTGGACTCAGAACGCCCAAGCGGCCCATGCGACATGCACCAGGGAGGATGCGATGATCGTCTTTTCAAATTACGGGGAATTCATAAAAACTATATCTCCTGCTGCCCCCCAGAAAGACACAATCCCTGAATGAACAGCTGCAGTGAAAACCAAACAACAATAGTGGTGCAATGTACCGCGGCATCAAACGCAAATAGTCCCCTGTCTGCCAAGCTTTTGGACACGAATGTTCTCGACAACATGGCGATGAAGAATCACCTCGGGCGTCCGCAAACTACTCCGACGGTAATCCCAGTGGCCCTGCATAGGGATCTCCTCGGCTAATCTGGAAGTAATCCTCCTCGTCGTCATTGTGACTGCTAAGGCTATCTTCCTGTCTCCTCATCGCCCCACTCCTTTTCGCCCTGGCGGGTGCCCTCCTCCTCCTTCCGCCCCCTGCACTTCCTCCTCCTCGTCTCCTGCCTCGTCTCCCCCATCCACCATCTCCCTCTTCCCTCTTGCATGGGCGCGCATGCCGATTTTTCTTGGCGCTGTCGCCGCCTCGGCTTGCAGGGGCGCGTTCTCCGAAGCCGTTGGGGCAACCCCGCGGGCCACGCAGTCGGGACAAATTAGCTCCCGCTCAAAGATTTCTCTGCGATGCACTCACCAACGAAGCTCCCGCTTGAGACTCTCTCAGGATTGCCGCCTCCGATGCTAATTACAAATGTGCACAAAGGCTATGTCTGGTACAATGCGACGACGACCCGCTCGGATTGCCGACATGAGGCGGGGATCCCAAATGGAAAGGGCTCCCGCTCGAACCTTACTCGCGATTCCCTCACAAATCAGGCTCCCGCTTGAGACGACCCCACGATTTGCCCGCTTGGGGTGCTCAAGTGCGATGCCTGCTACAATACGCCGAAATGACCCGCTGGGATTACCAACATGAAGCGGGGTCCCCAGAAGGAGAGGGCCCCTGCTCAAGACTTCCTCGCGATTCACTCACAAACGAAGCTCCCGCTTGTGACGTCTCCACGATTTGCCCCCTTGGGGTGCTCAAGTGCCTGCTGCACTACGCCGACGGCACGCTCGGATTGCCAACATGAGGCGGGGACCTTATAATTAGGGAGGAGGCACCGTCCCGCTCGAGAATTCCTCGCGATCCATTTAAAGACGAAGCACCCGCACGAGACGTCCCTACGAATTGCCTCCTTGGGGTGCTCCGTGCGGCGGGGACACCATGAGGAGAAGGCTCCCGCTCGAGAGTTCTCCACGATTTGCCCGCTTGGGGTGCTCAAGTGCTACGCCTGCTACAGTACACCCATGGCCCGCTCGGTTTAAAAACATGACGCGGGGACCCCAGAAGGAGAGGGCTTCCGCTCGAGACTTCATTGCGATTCACTCACCAATTAGGCTCCCGCTCGAGACGTCTTCACGATTTGCCCCCTTGGGGTGCTCAAGTGCTATGCCTGCTTGACTACGCTCGTGGCCCACTCGGATTACCAACATGACGCGGAGGGTCCCCATAGGGAGGGGACTCCAGCTCAAGACTTCATCGCGATCCATTCAAGAACGAGGCTCCCGCTCGACTTCTCCACGATTTGCTCCCTTGGCGTGCTTAAGTGCTATGATTGTTACACTACGCCGATGGCCTGCTCGGATTACCATGATGACACGGAGACCCCATAGGGAGGGGGCTCCTTCCGGCTCGAGACTTCCCCACGATTCGCTCACAATCTGGAAGAGGCACTCGTTCGAGACGTCTTTCACGATTTGCCCCCTTGGGATGCTGACGTGCTATGCCTGCTACACCACTCCGATGACCCGCTCGGATTGCCTACA